GGGGGGTTGGGAGAGGGGGGCCCCGCCTCCGCAGAAAGGGCGTGTCCGTGGGTAAAGGGGCCCCTGCGGCGGAGGAGCGTGTGACTTCTGGAATCGCAGCGAGCCGGTGGCGCTCACAGCCCCACTTGGCTGCTGGCGGGGGCGGGGCGGGGGCCGGGGTCCCCAAGGAGGCTCCAGATTGGAAGTGCGGTGGTGGTTCTCCCAGGAACCCAGACTTTCTTTGCGGATCCTTCGCGAAGGGGTGGAGAAGCAGGCTGGGCACCAGATCAGTTGCCCTGTGGCCCGGGACTGGAACCTTCCTGACAGGGGCTGGGGCCCAGCGGGGCTGCTCCGTCTTCCAGTTTCTGTGGGACAGGTCCCCGCGCCGCCGTGCTCCCTGCCTGCGCCCCGGGGATGAGCCTCCAACATCAGCACAGGGGCGAGAGGAAGAGGGAGCCGTCTCTCCTTCCACTTTCAGCTGTGGCTTGTTTCCAATGCCGACGGACGCCCAAACCAAATGGATTTGTCCCTTCTTAGCTGAAAGCAAGGAGCCATCCACGCAGCCCCTCCAGCGCACCCAGGCGGTGCCGGGGACTGGCGGGCGTGGCTGGAGGGGAGCCGCTTGGGATGGAGCTGGAGAGGGGACCCGCCCTGGCAGGCACCGCGTGCGCGCGCCCAGGAGGCTCCAGCTCTCAGGCTTGGAGGGCAGCGAACCCCCAGTCTGGCTACTCGCCTTTCCTCTTCCCAGTGGAGGTGGCTCCGAAGGAGGGAGGAGAAAGGGCTGGGGACGAGAAGGCGCCCCCGGGTTCCAGGAGGCTCGGCCAGCCCCTCCTGGGACGCCACATCGCCTTCCTTCCCTGCCTCATGGCTGCTGGTTGCGCACGGGCTGGGAAGACAATTCCTCAGAAGTCCAAGCTGCAGGGGAAAATGAGAAGCCCGGTGCTCTCCTTTGAGGCGCTCCGGACCAGCTCTGAGCTAAGCCCCAAACATGGTTTCTCTTTGGAGAACGGGGCCTTTCTCGGCAGGGTGCCTGGACCCCACTGGGTTCTGGTTCCTAGGGGCAGCTCTCCCCCTGGAAATACCGAGAGCCTGTGCGCCCAAGGAAGCAGGCACCTGGCCCAGCCTTCCGGGTTAGATAGAGTCTTGTCTTCCGTAGCTTGGATTCCCAGTGAGGAGTCCCAGCCTCCCTGGCCCTATGTCCATTCACCACACCGCGTCGGATCCCACAGACTCAGGGTATCTACACGGACAGCTTGTGCGCTCCTTGTGCTCGGGAAGGCGCCGGGCCCCTTCTGGACATGCCTAGGGCGAGTCCATTTCAGAATCAGTTCAAGAAGGAGAAAGAACACGTGTGATTTTCGCACAGGGCGTTCTGCCTCTAGCGAGACTATGTAGCTGTTGTTCTTGCCCTCACTGTTCCTTCCACGAATGGCTTTCTCTTTCTCTAGGGACCCACTGGCCCGTGATGGAGGGCTTTTAAATATGCACTTGTTCCTATTTGACAACATTCAGTGTATCAACTGGTGGCATTGTTTTATTGGGAAATGTAAAAAGTAGAGAGAAGCTACATGATCTGGTAACGAGGTGATGACTTGTCAGTCAGTCTCAAGTTGGTTGGTTGGCTAAGTAAGTGGGTAAGATGCAGATGGCAGAGAGCGAGCTGAGCTGGGGGCCTGGAGTGGAGCTTATGAGAAGTGAAGGGTCACGTTCCAGCCTTTGTTGAGAGAATAAGGAAGAACTGTTTTAAAGAGGCAAAGGCTGCTTCACGCCGTTTTCTGCCACGGCTACGTGGGCTTCTGGCTGCAACTGCTTCCTCAATGGATACCGTTAATTCAGAGGCTGACTTGGGGAGGCCAGGGATGAAATCTCGTGGTCGCCAAAAGGTGGATTCCGTGGTTCAAAGACTGAATGCATTGCTCTTTCCTTTGCAGAATTATTTTCTTATGAAAGTTTTCATTAAGTGTCAGTCTGACTGAGTTGGTTCCTATTTAAATTTGAAAAGGAAAAAAAATAGTTTTTACCACACTGGGCCTATCTAGATAAGGTTAAAAAAAAAGCCATAAACAACAACCCTTAAAGTTTATTAGATAGAAACAACTGTGATTGATTGTTGTAAGGCAGCCTTTCCCCCTCGGAAAATAGGACTTTTAAATTACACCCCCATCACCGTGACCCATTTTGCCTGTCCACACTCACAGACACCACTGAAGAAGGAATGACTGTGTGCGCTCCCCGTGAGATCCCGTGACTCTAAGTACTCATCACCGAGGGACTGGCTTCCAGTCGATATACAAATACCAGCACAGCATGCATCCCTTTTCTAAAATTTGGTTTGCGCCATAAAGTTGATGGAATTTCTTACTTGAGAAAAGCATATCGATTCAGCATAGACCATTCATTTGACAGTCTTAATGCACGATGGCGGGGACTGGAGACCATGTCTCAAAATTGCTTTTGTTTGCCACGTTTACCTCCGTGAAGTCTGCCCAAGTCCTCGCATTGTTATAAGCACACTTTCCGGCCTAAGTGGGAGGTTTTAGATTTCCCACGGAAGTTCATATAATGTCTGTGAGCACGCGGATTTATCCCGAGACATCCACTAGTAGGTGTAAGAAACCATCTTGGTTGACAGGTGACGGGCGAGTCTCAGGTAAGGAGCTTGATGGAAACGGCGTCTTGAAAGAACTGGCTGGCTCTGTTGTGTGTGGGTCTGAGTCGTGCCTGATAGTTTTGCTTGGAAGAGAACTGCAGGGAGTGGTGGTATTCGGGTTAAGGATCCCTGGAGCATCCTGACAACCTCTACTGTGAATACAAAGAAGGAAATGTGTTGGACAGAGAATCCTGACGACAGACATTTCCAAATGAGTAATCATGTCCTGGGGCCAGGATGTCTCCCCAGGTCCACTGTGAGCCCTGGAAGGGTGCGGTTCATGGTGTTACTGCCCTGGAAGGGTGTGGTCCTTGGTGTTACTGCCCTGGAAGGGTGTGGTTCATGGTGTTACTGCCCTGGAAGGGTTTGGTCCTTGCATCACTTCCCCGGAAGGGTGTGGTCCTTGGTGTCACTGCCCTGATGTGAGCCCTGGAAGGGTGCGGTTCATGGTGTTACTGCCCTGGAAGGGTGTGGTCCTTGCGTCACTGCCCTGGAAGGGTGTGGTCCTTGGTGTTACTGCCCTGGAAGGGTGTGGTTCATGGTGTTACTGCCCTGGAAGGGTGTGGTCCTTGCGTCACTGCCCTGGAAGGGTGTGGTCCTTGCATCACTGCCCTGGAAGCGTGTGGTCCTTGGTGTTACTGCCCTGGAAGGGTGTGGTTCTTGGTGTCAGCACATGTCAATCTAGAACCAGAACAGACTGTCCATGACTGTCCAGGCAAAAGGGAGCAATGATGAAGTAGTATTTTGATGGATGGAAAATTCCAAGACCCATAATATCATTTCTTTCTTATTATGTTCCACCTCAGCAATGGTACATTTTCAAGTATAAACATAGACATGTTTTTCTGTGTAGGCGGAAGCATGGGCACATGGGGGAATGCTCTGTGTGTTTATAGAGGAGAGACAGGAGTGAGAACACAGAAGAGTTGCAGGCCACGGTGATTATTCACCAGCTTTTCAATAATGTGGTTTCAGCTGCTGTTGCATCTCAGAGAAGACAAATGACGCTCTTGCTCTCACAACGCCAGAGCGGTGTAAGCCGCACACTGACTGCACTAACTATTTGAAAGAGAATTTATTTTTCTGGTATTTTAATTAAAAGAGAAAACATAAAAAAGGCAATACTTAAGGGCTTTATTATTATTGTATTTAGCTATTTCCTTCAGTTATTGGTTGCTACAAACACCTATAACCATAAATGTTAAATAGGTTTGAAACAAAGAGTTTGGTAGTTCACTTTTTAAAAATCTTTTGAGATTTTACTCCTACCTACTGCACTTTAAATCACGACTTATAACTCTTAAATTTCAGCCTACAAAACATTTTGCATGAGTATTTATTACAAGCTTTTTACATGGAGAAAATATTTTAATTCATCCAAAAACACTATAAACTAAAGAAGGGCCAGAATGAAATTTCAAATTTTTCCAAATATTCTTACTTGGGTTTTGTTGAGTGCAGTTTGACAATAGAGCCAGTGTATTGCTAATATTTGTATTATTTACACAACAAATAAGTGACTACCGAAAGTTTTCGAGGCCTGAGTTCTGTTATATGTGGTTAATAATGAGAGCTAAGTAAGACAATCTGATCTTCAAAATCAACAAACATTATTATACAACACTTTGCATTTGCTGTGTTAGTGGAAATGCCCTTTGAGACTCAGTAATCATCCACAGTATCTGAAAATGTATACACATGCCACCTAGAACCAAAGTTTTAAAAAATACTAAGAATAAACTAGGAACTTTAAAACATTCAAAGGATTTTAAATGAGCTTATTACATTTATTACTACATACAGATATGAAATCAATACTGAATCTCAATGAAATTTCGAACTAAAGAACACTTATACTGCTATAATCTATTTATAAATACTAAGTGTATTAATGTCATAATGCACTTTTTGAAAAAAGTTAATAGATTATATCACTATAGTGGCCAAACTGCGTAATT